CCGCCGCCCTGCTGCCGGGGGGAGCTCAGCACCCCGTACCCCGAGGACGAGCCCCCATAGCCGCCGCCGCCTCCTGCTGCTGCTGCCGCCGCCGCCGCCGCGGCCGCCACCGCCACAGCTCCCGCTCCTGCTCCTCCTCCTCCTCCTCCTCCTCCTCCTCCGCTGCCTCCTCCTCCTCCGCCGCCGCCGCCGCCGCCGCCGCCGCCCGCGCCGGGCCGGCTGTAGCCCGGATAATGGTTGTACTGGCTGTTGGGGTACCCTTCGTGGGAGTTCTGCAGGGGGTCCATGCTGTTGGGGGTTCCGGCGGCGGCTGAGGCGGAGTGCATCATCCCCATCCCGGGGCTTTGTTGTCCGCCATGTTGATCAAAGCAAGGCCCAGCGCGGCCGCCGGGGCCGCCGCTAGCAGGGGCAGCGCTGCCATAGTAATTATTAAACTCCGAGACGGTCGCGGGGCCGCCGCCGCCCCCGGGCACGGCCACCGGCGGCTGCTGCGCGCCCAGGGCGCCCAGGCCCGGGTGCTCGTACCGGCCGCCCGCCGGCTCCCCCATCTTGGGCGGCGCGTCGTCCTCGTCGCCCGGCTTGCTCAGCAGAGGCTGGCCAGGGGGGTCGGCCTGGCTGCCCGCGGCACTGTCCTTGGCGCCTCCATGTTGCGGCTGCTCCATGTCGGGACCGGGCTGAGCCGCGCCGCCGCCCGCGCCGCCGAGGCTGCTGTTGTTGGAAATGGGATGATGTTGTTGCTGCTGCTGCTGCTGCTGCTGTTGCTGCTGCTGCTGGAACTGGTTTAGCTGCTGCTGTAATGCGTGGTGGTGGTGGTGGTGGAGGTGGTGGGCATGGTGGTGCTGGTGGTGGGCATGGTGGTGCTGGTGGTGCTGCTGCTGGTGGGGCGGTGCGGAGGGGGCTTCGCCAACGGTTTTCAGTTTGTGGTTGGGGAGCAGCCCCGTCTCCATGGCCGAGCTCGGGCCCGACGAGGAGGAAGAGGAGGATGCCGCGGAGGAGGAGGAGGACAGCGCGGCGGCGCTTCCACCCTCCTTGAGAGCCGCCTCGGATCCGCCGCTCTTGGCGCTGTTAGTGCTGGCGGCGGCCGCCGCGCTCGAGTTATGGGCCATGTTCAGTTCGTGACGGGGGTGCAGGGGGTGGTGGTGCACACTGTTCAGGCCGCCGCCGTCGCCGCCGCCGCCGCCCCCCAGCATGGGTCCGGGTGCCGCCGCCGCCGCCGCCGCCGCCGCCGCTGCTGCCCGCGCGGCCATGATCGCCGCGGCGTGGCGAGGCCGGGCGGGGGGCGGGGGGAGACAATAAAACCCACTTTTTAGTCCGCGGCCCCTCCTGTGCGCATCCACACGCCCCGACGGGGATCGAGCGAGCCCCCTCCCCCTCCACAGGCCCCGCCGGAGCCGAACCGGGAGTCACGCCTTACGGTCTGGGCCTGTTCCCGCTGTGTGATTTCATGGTGAAAGTTTTGAGTTCAGGTTTAAATGAAACTTTTCTCTTTTCCTCTCTAACCCGGATATGGGTAAATACACGACTGGTTAAGCCTATTGGGCCCAGCATGGCAGGAGAGGGAGCCGAGCGAACCCGAGCAACTATTATCCACTTCTCTCTGATTACTCGTGTGCACTCGCAAAACGCGGACTGGACCCGCCGGGCCCTGCGCCCGCCGCCCGCCCGCCTGGGCGCAGCCTCGCGGGCACCCGGCGGGCCCGGGCCCTGGGACTTGGGCCCGCTCGGCAGACGCCCGGAGCGCGGCGGCATGGGGTGGCTGGAGGCCGCACTTTCCCCCTCGTGCCTCCGTCTCCTTGCCAACCGGGCGTTCGCGTGTTTGTTTTCACGTCTAAAAGGAACGATACAAAGGTGGAAAACGAGTCTGACGAGCAGACAAAAGAGGGAGAAGGGCTGGGGAACAAAGTTGTCTGTTGGCCTCAAAGGTTACGTATGAGGAGCCGACGAAGAAAGAAAATATTTGGGCAATCGGTGCAAAAGCACTGCCTCTCCCAGGAGTTACGTAATTTTTCAGTGTTAGCCTCTCTGCCTTGATTTCGAGCCATCAGCCTAATTCCCACAACTTCTTCAAACTGCAAAATTAGGAGAGTTTAAGTGATGGTTAGCCGCATTCGAGGAGCTCTGTGCCCTGTACACAGCAGGGAGTCAATAAATGCTTATGACTGACTGCACCTGCCCCAAAGACAATGTTGATATAACTACGTTTTAAGGGACCTTAGAGATGTATGTAGGCTTATCAGTGAAAACTCAAAGTATTCCCAAAGGAGCGTCTTTCTTACAATGCACTTGTCTTCTCTAAAAGGAAAGTCCTCAAGTATGAATAGTGTTATGCTCCAAACAACTTGCACATGGAAATTTAACGATCGGTGCCATAAATAGCAACAGCTAAGGTTTATCCCATAACTTCATAAATCTATATGATGCTTTTCACCATATTTCAGAGGTTAATGTGCTCAATTAACCCTCTTGATATGAGTTGGTTTCTAAGTAATTTGAAACAAAACTAAAGGAAATACATGCTATGTTTAATAAACGTAAGATCAATGATAATATAAATTGGTCATATCTAATCCTAGAGTAGAAATGTTTCATACTTTGTTCTTTAAAAAATACTATATTGTTTTATCACTTTATGATGTTTTAAATGTTTTTATTGTTAATTTATCACCTAGTAACACCTTGAATTGCTTCAATAGCAGGAATCTTAACCTAAGCAATGGCTCAGTTGTACTAGTGTGTGGACTCAGTTTTCATGGAGAGAAAGCATTTGAAACCAGAACTTCGATGAGGTCACGCTAGCTGAAATATATATGATTTTGGTATAAGGTAGTTTTTTCATTTCTAAAATGATTGCATTCTCCAGCTTTTCAAAAAGACTAGTTTATTTCAAGTACAGTAGTTATTTTTGTTTGCTTGACCCAAGTGTAAATATGTTACATGACTAAATAGAAAAGGATAGATGGGAAAAACAGGTGACAAATGGGGGGAGGGGAATCAAGTACACGCCCAAGGGTCATTATAGATCTGGAAACAACAAATTGCAGTTCTATGCAAGCAGCTGGAAAACAGGGTTATATCATCCCGTGTAAGAGAATAACAGAACTGTAAGATGAATTCATGCCAAATCATTCATCAGTTTTTGCCAAGAGAATACTACATCTTTGTCAGTGTGCCTTTTTGACATTTTTCTTCTGGATTTTCTCCCTTTATATATTCAAATACAGTACATACTAATTATACATACCATACCACATAAGTTGAATTTTTTGTTTTTCATATGCAAATATAAATATATGTTTTTTGTGTATGTATGTATATACATATATTCTAAAATCAATTACATATTTATGCTTTTAGACATTTATAGTCAAACTAAATATATACATACAATCATGAAAGTACATTTTTTCAAACCGATAAAATATATCCAAGTCAACTTAAACAAGTATAGCCATATTTCTGGCTTATTTTTAACAAGTAATTCTAAAAGGGAAAATGAGTCACCAAGTTCAGCCCATTTCTTAAAAATATTTCATATAGAAAAATGAAATAAAAAAAAGAATATAAGTCAAAATCTCTTTTAATTCCATTTGCTGCAGCAAGTCATCTAGAAGATTGGAACCAAGAGGCTATGAAATAGAGGCCCCCAGCACAATGAAATCAGTCTGCTATAAAAGGAGACACATGCCAGTTTCTCCTCCCCAATGGCAGATGCCACACCCTAAAGCAGACAGAAGGCACTGCAGTCTGTAAGAGAAGCACAACACAAAGCCGGCAGGACCTGGTTTTGTCTTTTAAACCACAGAGTCTGCTAAAATACCCCTTTAAAAGCATGTTGCTGAAGATATATTTATTCAACCTATATGTTTCAAACACACCTCAGGAAAACAAAATCAAAGCCTCTAATAGTTTCATTTAAAAATCCAGGACTTAATAAACAAAACGGCAATTGTTGGGGGGGTCTGTCAGAAAGTGATTAAATAGGTTCACATTTCACAAAAGCACTATTTGAACTATAGATCATGATTTCTACTGTGTGGCTTGCCTCAATTATCCTATATGGCAATTCAACATTTATTTTTTAATTAAAAAAAAAGGTAGTAGAAATCATCACGTTTATTTTTCCTAATGAATTCCTTATTTTTACACCTCTCAACTAAACTTCAAGCCATGATGACAACTTTAATAAGTTACTCCAGCCACAAGAAGCCGCAGAGGTGAAGGCCCGGAAGCTGCTGAGTGGCTGTGCCTACAGCCGACCTCCCACCCGCAGGTTCCCCCACGCCCTCGTGTTCAGCCAGAGGATTACCCGTTCTTTTGCTAAACATTCCTTTTTGGCTACAAAAAGGGTTTGAGTTTGTTTTTCTTTTTTTACTATATGAAAAATTAATATTCAAATACTGCTGCTTTTGAAAAGTTTTAGGGCGCTGAATAAAGGACTGTTGGACTTGCCCACTTAAAGAGGATTGAGCCAGATGGTAGTTTAAGAATGCCACAATTCTGTTCTTTTTCCCTCATCAGAGCCCATCATATGTTTGTTTTCAGATTAGTCCCCTTTCACTGTTCTGGTTATTTATTCGATAACTGAAACGATCACGATTCACTACCCATCATATTTCTTAGTATTCTTTACATAATTTGGAAGCAATTTAGAATAAAGACCTGTCAAGGTTTTACAAATAAGAACTATTAAAGAATAAGGCTTTGGATACTTGCTTTCCTTTTAGATTTATGAGAAATGCGATGAATGGAGCTAATGGGATTTCCCTACTGATCTTGGTCAGGCACTTTAAAAAGCACTAACCAATTGTCCTTTTCACTTCTCCGCTTTAGACTTTAGCAGTGAATAACTGAGTTAGTGCAAGATATGGGATATACATTTGATTTGAAACAACTATGCTTATTAACAGAGGCCCGTAAGTTGAGGATGCAAAACAATTAGGTAGGATTTGAAAAAGATCTAGGCAAAAATAATTTGAATAAATTGGGGACTGACAATCAGTAGCACTATTGTACTTAGAAAGAATATTATAGTGGGATAATAAAACTGGGTGGGGAAAAACTACACTTATTCATTCCAAAAAAAAATTGTCTAGAATCTATGACGTGCCCTGATAATTAAAAAGTTAAATATTACCTTGGTCCTGTTCTCAATAGGAGAGAGAACCAATTACGCTAAAACATAATAAGGGCTGCCCTGAAAAATCATGGAGGACTTGGCCAGTCAAGAAGCAGGCTCAGACTTTCCACCCAACAGCTTTCCCCACGGCTGTGCCTTATTGGCTGCCATCAGTGGGCACCCCACTCTAATCTTCAGCCTCAGAGGGCTCTCATGTGTCACTGGGAACCCACCACGGTTGGAGCTAGACTTCCGGAACCTTAAGTCAAGGTTAACATTAGACTATTACAATTTCTCTCCAAAGTCCCTAGAAAGATAGTAATGCCAGTGAAATAAATTAAGAAACACCTTACTACATTTTAGAACATTGTACTTTTTATCTTATACTCAACTGTCCACATTTTGAATGATGTGTAATAAATATTTTTATTATAGCCTCGTTGAGAAATTTCCCGTAACTTAGACAAATGTGTGTTCAATGGCATTTCTTTCATATTTCTTCCCAGTAATGTCCTCATTCATTTTGCCATCATCAAAATCATTTATTGAGTACCTATTAGTGCATTTCAATATTCTCTCCTATATCACATCATATAATCAACTATTCAGCTTCTATCAGTGATAACCTGCTGCTGGGATAAAGGCACCTTATAGATAACTCCACTCGAGTTCCTCAGAAATATGAAACTTGGAAAGTAAACATATTTGAGATCATGTATAATAATACAAAGGGAAGTCATTTGGAGTGCTAGTCACCTCAATTTTCTGGAAGGGTTTCAGTGACTTATCTGAGGGCGTTCTGGGTTTTTTTCATATGTGATTAATTGCTCCATGTACACATAAACTTCTAAAATAAAATTACTTTTCAAGCACAGTAAATTGCAAACAACAATAACTCATGTGTTAATGTATTACATTCATGATTTTTATTTCACCCAGCTTATATTCAATTACTTTATCCCTAATTCATTAAGAAAATCTGCAGGCACCTTTACCAGTAAATTATTGACAGCTGTCTGATTGTTCCAGTAAGGAGCAAAGGACTTGGTTTTATGCTTTTCTTACACAAAATGGCAATTTCATTGAGGAATTTGTATATCGATGCATTCCTCTAAAAATGCCCAAAGTTGTTAAACATAAATAATTTTTTTTTTCTCTCCGGAACTTAAAGGAAATGTCCACATTGTGACATGTAACTCTAGGACTTAAAATTTAGTGGGCTATGTGTGCATCCCTGCCCCTCAGATGTCTCCCCGCAAGCCGGACTTCTCTCTCTGTGGTGCTGGTGACCTGCTTTCTCATGGAGCGTGTGTGCAAGGTTCCCCTCCCAAAGCATAACCCACAAGCAGCAGCCGGGAAGGCGGCCTCCCCATTCATCCATCCTGCCCCGTGCAAGGCTATGGCCACAACAGTGAGAAATAAAAAGGAACTTACCACATTGAGTGTACTTGCTAGGCATTAATCAAATGATCACACTAATAAACGTGTCATTGTGCGGAGATAACATGCTCTGAAGGAAAGACACAGAATTCTAGGAGGGAAATAAACGGAGAAGCCTGACGTAGGCTGGGGCCTGAGGGAAGGCTTCCCTGAGGAAATGTGGCGTGGGCTGCAAAGTGAGGAGAAACCAGAAAGAGGGGAAAGGGGCTGAGAAGCACGGAAAGGCTGTGGAGGCGGGGGCCACCATGCCAGGCCCAGCAGGCCCAACTCAATCGGGACTTGTATTCCAGGAGCAGTGCAAAGTAGCTGCAGCATTTAAGCAGGGGCAGACAGGATCGGATCTGGGTTGTCATAGGAGCCCACGGGCTGCTGGGAAGAGAGGTGGAGCCAGAGCAGACGGGAATTAGAAGGGGGATCAGGTCCCAGGAGGCCAGGCTCCGGCCTCAGGCCAGATGAAGGCCTGGCCATCTTCATTTATTGAGTCTCCCAGTATATTATTATATTAAGAAATAATAAAAGATCATAAAATTAGTTTATTTTAATGTGTACATTTTAAAAAATGTATTCTACCTCAAAAAATACAATGCAAGCGTGCTTTTCAGAGAATAACCCTAAGATTTATTTATCTTTAATTCATATGCTCTACAGGTTGTGTGGTCTGATAATAGATCGTAAGTTTCAAAACAAAAAAAATACGATGAACATCTTTTCATCTAGTCATTGTATCTCTAGGACTAAATGTATAACCTTACTTGGCAACACCACCAAAATCTAAACTTGAGGCTCTTTGAAAATGGCTCCCCTCATTATCTCATGAAGGAGCACAGTCCAAGTGAGAGATGCGAGTTGATGGAGATGGGTGGGGGCAGGAGGCGCCACAGAGATGGAGATTCATAGAGTCCACCACTTAAGAATATGCGGATTGTTCACTGCTCAAGGCTCCCAGCCAAGGAGACGAGTCGGGGGGCTGCAATGAGTGGGCCCAGAGCCTTACTTGCCACTCATTGAGTGCTGGCACAGGACAGTCCGCTGGAAGATAGGGGTCTTTTTCTATTACAATTTGCATAAAGCACCATGCATGCTTGCAGTGGCCCTCCATGGGAGAGACGGCAAGGGGATAACATGGAAGGACTTGGTCATAGGTTAGATATGGGCGTGAGGAAACGGAAGGATCAAGGTCTTACCTCTCCCTTCACTTTCCTTCCCACCTTTTCCTGGCCCAAACCAATGTACGAAGCAGCTGGGAACCCCAGCTTTTATCCCTACCATCCCGTCCCCTCCACCCTACCTCCCCTACCCAGTTTTCTCTATCCCGCTCCCCCCCCCCAACGCCAGCACTGTTCTGATAAGCAAACTCTGCTCATAATAGAATCTTAGACCTAAAGACAGCTTAGATGTTTTAAGAAGCTGAGGGCAGCTCCTCAAATCCATACATACAGTGCGAATATTTTGTGGCCCGAGAGCCTTCTCTCTTACCTAGGAATTTGGCAGATAATCCGTGGGAAACTCTTTGAAACAAATGAACCCAATGAGTTAGACAACCAACCCATGAGTTACAACTAGCCCCCTTCGCAGGGCTTCCTCTTTGCACAGCACCAGGGCCATCATGCTTGTCACAGACCTAAAGGAGGCCTCTGTACAGTCAGTGTGTCTGTCTGTGCCCTGGAGTTAGGCAGTGTGTCTGTCTGTCCCCTTCTTAGTTGCCACAAGGCAGAGCTATCATTTGCCGCCCTTGAAAGGGGGCCTGGGAAGAAAGCAGAAGCCCAGGCTGGGAAATGCCTGGCCTGGGCAGTGTCCTTATTTGGCAGCATGACTTGGCTTTTGGCCACCTTTCCACAGGTGCAGAGCTTAGGGCAAACCACCTCCGTGTCTGCAGGAGGAAAGGAGTGGCATGCCCTGGCAGTCTGCTCCCAGCGCTGGGGCACCTCACACACCCTCTCACTCAGTTCCCTCTTCAGGGGTAGGCCATAGTCTAGAAAAGGGGAAACCTCAGGCAGAAGTAGTTGTATTTAATCAATAAACCAAGCCACATGGAGGCTGCTTTGAGTTTTATAACTAGTATTACTCAACATTTATTGTGTTTATCCTGTGCCCAGCACTTTGCATACAGAGGGCAAAAAAGCAAGCTGCTTAACCCGACATCTCTTCTCCTCACCTCACCTCTACTAATAGAAGTTCCAATTTTGAACTGGGCACATGACCCCCCGTAAAAAAAAAAGTCTACATCTCCTGGATCCCCTGCAGGTAGGTGTGTCCATGTGTTTAAAGGGAGCTGCGGTGCAGGCTTGGTTACTATCTAGACTTGGTTTATGAGAGAGAAAAATAAACTTCTGTATAAGCTGATTTTTTATTTTTTGCTTCATTTGTCTTAGGGTTTTTCTTCTTTTCTATTTTTTTTAAGTAGGATACAAAATATAATACTAAGTGATATAGTGCATATGGTTTCTCATGTAATTTTCCCAACAACCGTTTGAGAGTTCAGTAAACCTCTCACACCTTGATTTCCTCCTGTATAAAACACAAAATAATAGTACCTACATCACTGGGCTTCTGAGGGTGAAATGAAATATCCCTGCAAAGCTCTGAGCACAGTGCCAGGCACAAAGTGTTTTGATAAGATTCTTTATTAAGGACCTTACTTCTCTCTAGCTGGCTTATTCATTCCTCGAGGACAACGTCCTATCTTCCCTTTCTCCTACATCTTCCACAGTGCTCAGAACAATTCGGGGCCCACGCAGTGGCCTTTCAGTACTTAACTGTCAAGAAAACTTTGTGGCTGAACACAAACATGCAAATAAAATGACACGCATTTTCAAATTGTTTCAATGCAGATAATTGATGATGTAGCTTAAGCAATGATCCCTTTCTATGTGGCTACTCATTTAACATAAGGACAGGATTCCTGACTTCTTTTTTTATTGGCTTCAAAGGTGTTGGACATTTTTCTTGAAAGGTCAGTTCTGCCTATCAGGGTAACATAAGTTCTGAGCTATGTTCAGAGGGCTACTCCTCTCAGAAGCTGTCTGATTTCCCATTTTCCTCTCTAGGTAAGAATTTCACTGCTCTTGTTGGCTAAAGGAGCATCGTGTGGGCATGCGATTTATAACGGAGAGCGTTGCAGAGTTGCTTGGAATATGTTTAATGCCAGGGCACATCGCAGTAAGTCTTGGTCTGACCAGTTGAGCATGGCACTTGTTTATAAACAGTGTGATTATTAGAGCTGAGTCTGTGAAATTGGTTTCCCGCTGACCCCAATAGAAACAATACAAATATTCACCCTTTTCCAAAGCATAGTAAAAACTCCTGTGGTTCTTGAAACCAGACCAAGAATACATGTAGAAAAGCCTGTGGATTATTTTAAGTGAACTTATTTTTTTAAATCTCATTAACTTTTCACCATATGCTGTTTATTTTTTATATCGTGCATAGGCTGAAAAATGAAAATAGACCAGGCCACTGTGTTCCATTTGGGGACATCATTATGAGGATGACATACACACACTCTGGGGAGTTCAGAGAAAAACAAAGATGACTAAGGGGGCTTTTTAAGATGACTTATGAGAAAAGATTTTTAAAGCTCTACAAACTGTACGTCCCTTAACTAAGCAACCCAGGAGGCAAGCAGGAAAACTGCTTGCCACCACATGAAAAGGGTGGCACCTCCCGGGGCCTCCTGATCTATATATAGAAGCTGGAGTGACATCCAGTTGAACACTTATGGGCTGTGTAAGTTTTCACAACTTTATTGTGTAGCAGGATGTATATGTTACACTAAATATCTACCGTGAATGATTTTTTTATTGGTAAGAATTAAATGAAAGTATACATAAAACATTTAACATATTGCCTGGGATTAAATAGGTAAGGAGAGAGGGAGAGAGAGAGAGACAGAGAGAGAGGATTTTTATGTCTAAATGGAATAGATGTCAGGTATACTCCACTCAACCCCAAACATTTCTCCTGCTACCTAATTAAAAATTTCCCATTAGAGATTTATGGATTTATTCCTTTCTCTAAAGGCTTTGAGCCCTGTCAAAAATGCAAACCTGCTTCTAATGAGTAATACCTTAAGCTTTTATCAGTCATTTACACCTTATTATGAATATATTTTGGGTCCGTTCCTGCAGGCCTACTTTGATGCAGGAGAAGGGGAGATGAAGAAGAGGATGTGAGCGCCAGCGAGATGAGAGGAAGCAGGGGTGACTGCAGTGAATGGGGAGGCTGCAATGCTGAAACAGGCTCTGTTTACTGCACAATACCCCCACGGAAACAGCCCTACATATTAATGGGTGAGGATGTGAAAAGGAAAACATACCTAAATATTGAAAAAGTTTTTCTTTCCATCCGAACAGTTCAGGCTTGTGGATCCTCACCCCATTTCCTAAAGGCTTGGATCTCAGGATTTGTCATTGCTGTGTGACAGCTGACTCTTGGTAGCTCAAGCTAGGCACTGACCTGGGAACGGGGAAGCAGGCGAATGCAGACTGGGGGTGCTTTTCCAGGCCAAGTTCATCTCATGATCCTGTGGCTAGGTAGGACAGTGGATGACGTGGAGCATGTTTACTCTGGAGCTGATAATGAAGTGCAGTGAATCCTCTACGTGACCCAAGAATGCTGGTACTAAGACTGGAGGGAAGGGAGAAGTCAAGGGAACCGGTGGCCTCCGGAACCCCGACTTTGCTCACGGGACCATGTGGGTCCTTTTGGCTGCAATGGCAAGGATGGGTGGGTGCATGGAGTTGAGAATTTACATCATCCAGGGCAGGTGCGTTGGAGACCAAAGAAGGAAGAAAGAAGCTGGAAGGGAAGGTGAGAGAGAGAAGAAGAGGGAGGGATGAAAGGAGAAGAATACCAGACTTCTAGAGACAGATAGATACACTGTTACTAGAAACATCACTAGTCTGGAAAAGACAATGTTGCAAGTTGTAATTTATCCTTTGACACATTTATCATTAACTAGGCTAAACCATCTTACTAATGTGAGATAATTCATGGAAGCCATAAAAATTTGAGGTTCAAGGTTAAAACTTGCTGACCTTCCATGGATAAATTCCCTGGACAGTTGATCCACCTGCCTCCGTTTTATTTCATAATCCCTACCATATTCTGATCTCTAACCTGAACACTGGAGAAGTTTCATCTATGATTTCTAATGAACTTTTTCCCTCTAGGAAAACGCTCTTAACTTTTCTTGGCTTTCTGCTTCAATCAACTAGGAAATACATATATTGAAATATGAAATATGGTGTTCTGTGACTTGAATTCTACTCCTGCTTATGAGAGCTGGGGTGGGACATCTACTTAGATCAGTTAAGGTCTTATAAATGCCAAGTAAGAATGAAAGGACTGAGGGGTGTGGATGGGACAGGAGTTTCAAGAACATATGACAGGGTCTTTGACCTGAGAGAAGCACATACTGGCAGAGACTTCAACTTCCTTATCTACAAAAAGAAGCACATGGACCAGTAGGTGCGGCTCTGACGGCTATTTTTCTCTTCCCCTGACTTCCCTGAGACCATTCTAGCCTGAAGCTTCTTCTGTGCTTTCTCTGTTCCTTCATCAGTTTGTATTCCTCCTGGCCATCATCCCCCCAACCCTAAGGTGCTCCTGCTCCTTTTCTTTCCTGGCCACTTCCCTGTGGCCAGCCAGCTCACTGTGGTGACCCTGGGGACAGCCCTGCCCTGGTCAAGATGGCATCCCTTCTGCTTCGATACACGTTGGCCTGTTCCTCCTTTGTGCAAATCATTCCCGAGTGTCCAGCCACTTCCTCCAGTGTCTGGCTCACTGTTTGTCTGCCCCAGGAGGTTGTCCCTGATAAACCCTGTTTCTAATTCCTTGCCACACCAGGTTCTCTCGTACCTCTCTGCCCTTACGTTGGCTACTTTCTATGGTCTTTCCCACTGCTTGGTCAAAAGCTACATCTTTCAAAAATCAGCCCAACTATCACTCCCTTTATGAAGCCTTCCTGATCACAGTTCCCACATACCTAGTGGAATAGTCACGTTTTAGCTATGAAACCAACTTGTGGACATCACTGTTTTAGCCCTTATATGTTTATGTCTCTACCCCAAGTCTGAGTGCTCCAGGAGGGCACCCCACATTTTGTATATCCAGGGCCGAACATAAGACCTGGTCCTCCATTAGCATTTGTTGAATGAATGAATGACCTCTGCAACCAGTCAGAGTGATGATAAGGCATGGTACCAATATGGCTGAAACATTTGAGCTCCTCGGACACTTCCGGACCAGCCCCACAGTCCCTATGCATGAGAATGTGTCCTTAGTAATCAATCCATTATTTTAAGGACGTTAAGCCAAATCCTTATGTCAAGACGTGGACAACGATTTCAGAAGGTCACCTATGAGAACCATATTACGGCAAGACGGAGTGCTAGCCATTCTGCTTACCTGAAGGCACTTTGGGGTGGCTGGTGCAGGAATGAGAAAGTGAACAACCTCCCTTCTGCAAAATAACATTCTGCTCTTGGGGCTAACGGACATCCGACAGCGTGATTTTCTCAGGGTCCCTACTTAACAAACGGGGAATTGTGCCTTGGGACATTATGAAAGCAAAGTTCTCTAGTCCACCTAAGAAGAATCAAAGACCTAGAAATCCATAATAATGTTCCAGAGACTCTCAGCTAGCAGTGTGGCAGAAGGTATCTGGAACATGGGCAAAAGAAGACTTTTGTGGAGGGGAGCTTACATAGAACTTTTAACTAGTATGGAAAAAAGACTTCGTGACCACTATACACAGGATTTTTTTTAAAGGTGCTACAACTAAAATATACTATCGCAAAATCTTTCTCACTAGACTTCCAAAGAGCTCAAGATTACTAAAATTATTAGATATATTTCTTTGTACTACAAAAAAAATTGTTAGCTTGATTGATCTAAAACTAGGCTAATTATAGCTGAGTTGAGATGAATTTTCCAGATACATCAGCTTCTAATTTTTTTATATTCAAGATGCTAGCTCTATGTGACATACAATCTCAGTATATTATTCTATCAGGATATGATTTAATTTCTTTGTTTTGAAAAGGTTTACATTGAAAAGTCTTAAATTGAAAAGATTTCCCCCAAATAGTGTTCATTTAGCTTCAGGCAGCCAAAGGAAAAGTGGAAGCAAGACTTCCTGTGTATACCTTTCTATATAGTTTTGACTTTTGAATTGTAGATATATGTTCAAAACCAAATAAAACTAAAGCTGAAAAAAGCCCATTCATTTTCCCCAGCAGGTATAGACCCTTTAGCTTAAGGAGTGGTCATCAGCTAATTGGGGTGGAGCAGATTTCAAAAGCTATGGCCAGCTGCTGTAGACTGGACACCCATTCCCCTTTGCTGCTGGTTTTCCAGGTCTGTGCCGTGCCTTGTAGCTGAGATCACACTTCATGTTGCCCACTTGATTCTTGGGACTGGGAACCAGCCCTGCATCCTGCCTGATACTCTGTCCTGGGCCAGCCAGGGGCTCTGCCTTGCTCCTACCACTATGGTGGTTTTATCCTGCCACCCTCCCTTGGTGCTGCAGTCTGGTCCCTCAACTCTTGGCTCATTGCTGTGGCCTTGGCACCTGCTGACAATGGTATTTGATGCTGCCTATCTGCCTGGATCACAAGTACTAGAGGAATTACAAAAATAGTGACAGCCGACAGTAAATGAGTGCTTGCTCTGTGACAAGGCAGGGTCAGGGTGCATAGAGACCCTATGAGATAGGTATAGAAGGGTAGATCCTGGAAAAAAGTAAAATGACTTTTTTTACTGGTTGCTCATGCAACCAGTAAATAGTGGATCTGGGGTTGGACTCAGGTATGTCTCACTCTAAACTGGCGCGGGGAGTGGGGATCTCAAGCTCGTCCACCTTTTAGGGAAGTCCTGTGGCCAGTGGCCACGCTGCCCAGATCTAAGGTGAAGCCTAGGAGCGGCTGCAGCTCTCCTCACTTCCCAGGCTGAACTGGGTTCTGTAGTTTCTGCCCAACTCAATCGATGGGTCAAATTCCAAGGTCAGGCACTGCCAGGCTGTTCTACGCTACTATAGTTACCCTTTCATGCACACCCAAACCACACATAGGAATCACTTCCTGGCTTCTCCTAGCTTGGGACTACCAATAATTGGGAATGGGGAATGCTAGATTTATAGAAAAATGTGCTTACATTTGGTAAGACTTTATTAGGTTTTATTCTTCCTTCCCGCATTCTTTCCCCTCCTTCCTTTTTTTCTTCCTTCTTTTTTCTTTCTATAAGAAAAACTAAAAACTCTTCTAAGGTCTTAGGAAACCTGTAACATCTAGAAAATAGATGTTTATATTCCATTGCAAGTCCACTGTGAGAAACTGTCTTACACATTTTGTTACACTGGCAATCTTGTTCTATACAGAACTTGTTTTAATAAAATTTATTGTAAAGGCTTTCTGAAAAAAGCAGGCATCATGGGGGAAATGTTCAGACAATATACTGGGTGATGCTTTGATGCAGTATTTGTGGGGAATATTTTCTATTTTCCTTCTACTTTAGAATTAGATTTTTTAAAACCCTCAAATTAAAAAAAATTTCAGTACATACATATTGGCAAATCATTTAGAGAAAAACATTATTTGTGCCTCAATAATTTAGAATTAATGACCCTTTGAATAGGGGCCAGGCTTAAAGTAAATGTATTCATTGAAAGAGTAAAGGAGAATTAAAAACCAGGCACAGACACTGCCCCCACATGCCCAATGGTCTCCCTAAACACATGTACAAAGCTCTCACACCCCCAGACAGACACAGAAACAAATATCATTAGCAAGTTGAGACCGTAGACATTTAAACAGTTATCAGTACACCAAACTCAAGGATACTTAAACTTAACAGTAACTAGTAAATATAAGGATCGAGGAGTAGAGATGGGAATGGGAAATATTTTTCTCTTTAGAAGCATAAAACAACTAATATATCTGTTTATTATACAATAGCATCTTTCCTAACTGACAACATTTGTTGTTCTATTTATTGCCTTTACTTGAAGAAATTTTAAAAAGGCATTAAAAATATCCATGCTTTAGACTAACTTAGATTCATTTCCATCATTTAGTCTGAATTGGTGATGTTTCACTGTAATGAATTTTAAAGTCAAATATGAAATGATTTAGAACTTTGTGTGACCTAATCCCCGTGCTTAACATAGACAATTGAGAATAAAATGATTTCTGAACTACACGGTAATATGATACCCTAATCTAGTTTTCATTAAACTTTCTTTTCAAAATTAAAATTATTTTATACTATTCTCAAATAATAAAATTATTTTATATTCATTGTAAAATGTCCAAACAATAAAAGGCTTTAATAGAAAATTAAAATCATCTGTAATCCCACTCAATGGAGTATATTTATTTAAATGTAGACTTAATTTGGGTGTAAATCAAGACTTCTTCTATAACTTCTGGTTCCAGCAACATGGGGGACTAAGGCAGGCACCCTCCTGCAATAAACACATAGATATTTTGGATAAAATATAATAAAATAAAATAAATTGCTACTATACAAATACATTGTGTTTTTAAAAGTAGATAATTGAGCCAAGGAGGAGGAAAGGGAAGTTTTCTTGTAGCGAGAGGTGTAAGGCTGAGCTGATGGAGCCAACACCTCGAGAAAGGGAGCGGGGGTATAAACCGCACTGGAAATAAAAGATGCCCTTGGGTCCACTGAGATGCATATCTGGAAGTAAGAGGTTGAATTATGGAAAAACACTTGCAAAGTTCCTTAGTCCATAAAAATGGAACTCCAAAAAGGAAAAAAATAGCAAAGGATCTTGCAATATTCAAGGCTTTGAGTATGAAGGAAAAAGAAACATCTCTTGTAGGAGCTAATTTTACACTCGCCTTATAGCACAAGAATTCTCAGCTGATACACTAACAAAAAAATTGCGGCAAGAAAAAAACAAATTTGGACAAGGCCCATGGAAACTTTGGGACCCTTGCAAAAACCAAATGCAAACCCACACTACAGGGCTAATCCATAATCTAGGGCACACAGAGCTCCCATAGGGAAGACCACCACTGCTTAAGATGAGCTCACAATAAAAAATTACAAACCATACAAGAAAATGAGGATGAATCAAAGGATTCAATAATCAACAAAATTAGTACCCAGAGAACTATAGATAACTGAGCCCTCTGAAAGAGACTATAAACATTACTTTGATTTATTGATTAATTAATCATTTATTAAATAATCATTTGTTTAAAATGATTAAAGAGATAAAAGAAGAAATTGAAATAATAATAGGACAAAAGGAAAATATGAGCAGAGAATAAGCAGATTTAAAATAGGACCAAACTGGACTTCTGGAAATAAAAGAGTAATTCATTCAAATTAAAAACTCAGTGAATAAATTGTCATGTAAAATAGTCAGCTGAAAAACAGGTGTGAATAAATCACCCATAATGCAACATAAAAATAACAAGTTGTTAATATGAAAGAGAGGTTATGAGACATGGAAGACAGAATGAGAAATTCTAATATACTTCTAACAGGCATTCCAGAAAGAAAGTTGTAGACATTCGAAGAGATAATGGAGGAAGATAAGGTTGCCACAATTCATGTTATATGATTCTTTTATGTAGAAAGCTGAAAATTATCCATAAATGATTAGAATTAATAAGAGAATTTAGCAAGATAGATACAAATCAATATACATTTTTCTGGAAATTTGCATGTTTTCTTCTAAATTTTCAATCATATTAGCATAAAGTTAATGAAAAGCACTTATTTATCTTTTTTAATCCTGTTAAAACATCTGAATTTGACACTTTTATCAATTTAATATTAATTTGTGCCTTTTCTCTTTTCGTTGACTAGTTTGACTAGAGTTTATCTATTTTGTTACTTTTCAAAGAACAATATTTTACCTTTTTGAGCCCCTGTATTATTTAATATGATTTCTGTTTAATTGATCTATTGTTTGTATGATGGTTATTTAATTGGTTTCTGCTCTTATCTTTATAGTGTTTTTTATTCTACTTTGTGGTTTTTCTGTTATTTCTTTTACTTTCAAATTTAGAAACATAACTATTTAATTTTCAGCCTTTAAGTATTAAGGCTATAAATTTCTCTCACAATATCATTTTCCTGCACTCCACAATATATCTTTTATATAATAAGTGAGATGGGAGATCAGAACACATACATATAAAAACAAACACTGATAAGATACATAAGATAATTAGAACATATACTGCTTCATCTCATCATATACAAAAATCAACTCTAGTTGAATTAATAAGCCATATGTGAAATACAAAACTATAAAAATTTTAGAAGTCAATATGGAGGAACACTTTTATGATATCAGAAATATAAACCTTCACTTAAACAAGAAATAAAAATTGAAAACCACAGAGGAAATATTGACAAATTTGGCTACATTAAAATGAACAATGTCCATTCGTCAAAAGACACCATAATGATAATGAAATGACCAGCCACAAACTAGGAGGGGGTATTTGCTAAATATATAATTGTCAAGGGATTAGTACCCTGAATATGTTAAAAATTTTATATATTCAATAAGAAAAAGGCAAATCAACAAAAAAAGAGAGCTCAAAACTATTACATAAGCATTTTATGGAGAAGCAGACATACATGGTCAATAAACATATAAAATGTCACTCAATCTCATTACCAAGCACAAAAATACAAATTAATTCTACTATGATTTAGCAGCACATAGCCACAAAATCGACATATATTAAGGTTGAAACTATCATGCATTGACATGGGTGTAGAGCAAGGCAATCTCCCATGTGGTACTAAAGGGAGTGTAAATTAGCACAAACACTGGAAGCCAATTTTGCTTTTATAAAGATGCCCATACTCTATGCCCTAGCAATTCCACTCCTAGGTATAAACTCTATAGAAACTATCCTGTGCCAGGAAGCATTTATGAAAATGCTTAAAGCAGCACTATGCCCACTAGTCAACACTAGAAACAAACCAAAGTCCATGGACAGTAAGTGGAATGAATAAAACGTGGGTGATGGAATACTACACAGTACTGAGTAGGAGTAAATCATAACTATGCTCAATGACATAGTAGAATCTCAGGAACACAATTGAGTGGAAAAAAACAAATAGAAGGACATATATAGATTAGTCCACTGATACATTTCAAAACATGCATCGCGATGTATTTTCTGTGTGAAACTACAAAGAAATGATAAATACAGGTGCGGGTCACACAGGGGAATCTCAAAGTAATGGTGTTGCTCCTTTTGTTCTTTTCCTATGTTCAATGGTCAGTACATAAGGGTTGTACTATTATTCTTTTTTTGTTTTGTTTTCCATTATTCTTTATACTGTACATGTATTTTTAAGGTGTTTTTTGTATCTGCTCAGGACTTATTAAGAACAATTTACATTGTATTATATACCTGAAACTAATAAAAAAAATTGTATTAAGGGCCGGCCGAGTGGCACGTTGGTTAAGAGCTGCCTTGGGACGCCAGAGGACCCCGGTTCAGATCCCACATATGAGGGCCAGTGACACTGCCCTCTACAGCTAAGATGTTGAACAACAGCTCAACCTGGAGCTGGGCTGCTGTGAGTCACCAGCAACAGCGTAGGCTGCAGCCACTGCTACAGTGGGTTGCCATGGGCTACCGTGTATAGCCGGCAACCAGCGTGAGCAGCCGGCAGCCACTGTGAGCAGCAGTCCAGAAGCCGGCGACTGATCTGCCTCACCTGGGAAGAGCGCAATGATGGTGCCAACTTGGGCCAGTGAAGCAACGTCCTCCACAACTAGACTGAAGAACAAAATGACAGCAACTTGTCTGTTCCCCTTCCCCCAATTCCCCAGCGCTGTTCCCATCCCCCAATTCCCCAATAAAAATCTTTAAAAAAAAAAAAAAGAGTTGGCTTGGGACACCAGCTGTGAGCAGCAGGGCCCGGTTTGTGTCCCACAGGAGGGCCAGTGATGCTGCGCCCTCTACAGCTAAGATGGTGAACAACAGCTCCACCTGGAGCTGGGCTGCTGCAAGTCACCAGTGATGGTGTAGGCTGCAGTGGGGCTGGCCGGCAGTGGGCGTGAGCTTTCGTGAGCTGTCATGAGCCTCCATGAGCTGCTGTGAGCGGCCATCCAATGGACTGCGAGCGACTGCCTCACCTGGGAAGAGCGCAATGATAATACCAACATGGGCCAGTGAAGTGACATCCTCCACAACTACACTGAAGAACAAAAGGACAGCAACTTCTCTGTTTCCCTCCCCCAATTCCCCAATTAAATCTTTAAAAAAAATAGATTAAATTAAATTTAAAAAATAATAACTTAAAAGATAGAATGCTAGAGAAGGACACTTTCCCAGGACTGAAAAAGGACATCAGTCCTCAGACTATAGTACACCTCAGCCCTTGCATGTTAAATACAGACAAATGCAAACCTACACAGACCAGAGGGAAACTACAGAGCACAAAAAACAGAGGAAAGACAGGGAAAACAGACACATCATCCTCAGAGAAAAAAGTACATTTCTCTGCAGCAATGGCAAACTCCAGAAGTGAAATAAGTCTAAGTGCTGAAAGGGGAAAAAAATCCCAACTAGAGTTTTTTACCCACTCAAGAGCGAGGGCTGAATAATGAGCCTATCAGAGTTTACCATTATCAGGCCTTCACTGGAAGAACTACTAAAAGCTGTACTTGATTACGAAGGAAAATGGACCCAGAAAAAGGACGTGGGGAACAAGGAGCACAGGGAAGGAAAGAAATTGGCAAGTGTTTTTGTAAAACTGAAAAAACAAGGGTGGATCATTGTTTTGTGGGACTTAAAGCTTTCATAATTTGGGGAACCCTTTCTAAGGAAAGTATTCATAGAAAATGAGATACAAAAGTTTACATTTGCTTAGAATGAGAATAGAAATCACAACAAATAAAAATTTAAACTGTAGCTAAATGCTACAAAACCTCACAAAATCCAGGAATATAATACACTCTTTTAATTATAATTTCCTCTCCTCTATAATACATTTTATTCCCTACATTTTTTTGGCTGCATACTCTTTGCTCACCTCTTGATGTGAAAATAAAATTTAAATATCATCCTCTATAAAGAAGTATAAAGATAAATCAGTCTTCTAACACAGTTGGTCAAAATTTGTTCTCTTTTTAAAAATCAGTCCAAGTTTAGAAAAGTTTATTTAGCTTCACATTTGTTACCGGCACTGGGGGGAGTCTTCAGATAACCTCAGCCCTTTGATCTCACTGTCACAGCAAGTTTATCAAGGTCGGCTGGGTTTCGCCACACCCAGTGTCCCTCCCACCCCCTACCTTGCCCGGGCAGTTCCCAGCAGCGGTGTGTGCCAAGTCACATGGCCCTCAAGCTGGGAGTGGACTTGTGTCTGTCAGATTCTTCTCTTTGGGGAAGATGCTGACGTTCCACGGGGTCCTCGCAGAGCAGGTTGTCACTGGCGGCGGCTGCGCAATGCCCATCCCCTCTCCTGCAGCTCCAAGGCCACCACCAGGGAGAGAAAAATGACCCGAAGGCTGGCAGGACTCCATTCCTCGGACTCTCCCGGGGCTGCTGCTTCCTCCTGGTTTCAGAGCCTTGAGAGGGTCCATCAGGTTAAGAGCCCCAAGCTGAATGACAAATCGGCCTTAAGCAGAGGCTATCGGAAACAACATTAACAAAACAGCAACAATAGTAATAACTGTTAGAGAAGCAATTACTTCCCACTCATACTCGTATGTTCGCAGAAAGAAGAAAAGTTCCTCTTCAATCTCTGCAAGTGATCTATAAAATTATGCTTAAGCTCTTTCTGTACCTTTCACTCCCCCTCAAGGCAGGAGGACTGGAAAGTTGAGGAGGAGACCTCAACATGCTTGGCTCAGCCCCTCCAGATCTGCCTGCCCCCCGAGGATGAACGCTCCGGTCTGCCTGTGTCCAGGTGGTGAGGACCTGCCTTATTCGGGAGACCTGCTATTGTCTCACCACGCCATCGGGGCCGAAATCTATCTAATTCAGGAATAAAGTATCAGCGAGCCCATCTGGCCACAGATCTAAAAGCACTTTCTCCAATCACCTTTCTCTGAAATAAAGCTAAGACTGTATTTTGATTTTCAATCTCATTTCTGCCTCTCTCCTCCCTTTTTTTCTCCATATTGGTTCCGAATGCCAGAGAGAAAGAGAAGTGTTATGTATGGGATACCCCACAATCCTAACAGTAAAGGCTAATTTGGGGAGACTTAAGCACAGGTGAAACTAATAAACTAGACAAAAACATGAGAAAAGAGAGAACAGCTACTGATTAACTTTAGTCTTTCTTAAGTGTGGCATATTCAAAATTTAAGGGTAACTTCTCAAAGAAATAGAATAGATTGTCTTCCAAAACACTGGAGGGGGGAAAGAAGAACAAACTGAATCAATCCAACTGGAAGCAGAAAAAAAACCTAATAGTAAGAAAAAAATATGGAAATAAAAAACATACAATAAAATGGTATAAATAAATCCAATTATTAGCAATCCTAATAAATGTAAACATTAAATTCCCCTGTTAAAAAGTAGAGTTTACCTGAATAGAAATATAAATTCTATCTGTATGCCCTTCGCAAGTATAAATAAAAATGACTCCCCAAATTTGAAATAAAATTATGGGAAATATATTCCAGGTAGAGACTAAACAAGTAAAGGTAGAAAGACAATATTAATTAGAAGAAATAAAACTTGAGGCAATAGTATTAGGTATAAAAGGGCTATTATTTACTGATAAAAAGAACAATTACCAAGAAAATGCATGCACCCAAAAACATAGCCTCAAAAATATGCATAGACAAATAATGATATATATACTAAAACAATGATTAAATCCCCAAGCATGATGGGTATTTTAACACACATCTTTCAGAAACTGATATAGAAAGGCTACAAATAGTTAGAAGGTATAAAATATCTTGAACAACATAATTTTAAAAAGCTTGTTCTAATGGACATCTACAGAATCCTACCCCCAATAATTAGGGAAAACAGATAATTACCAGAGAGTGACCACCATCCAGTCACAACAAATACCAAAGTATTCATTTCATATCACAATGCAATATAGTCAGGAATTTAAAAACCAACAAGATAACTTAGAAATTCTATCAATTTAGAAACTAAAAAGCACTTCAAGATATTGTAATTAGGTAGATAGATAGAAGTTGGATGGATAGATGGATAGATGGATGAATAGGTAGATAGATAGGATACACAAAATATATGCAAGGGCAATGAGATAGATAAATAATAGATGATAGGCTCATACTATAAAAATAATTTCATGAACTGCTTTTGTCATTCAATAATAGATTGTGCATCTTTTCACGTTAATAATTACAGATCCATATCAATGTTTTAACAATTGTGTAGTATTTCACTGTCTGAATTTATTTGTACCATAATTTATTTGTTGTTGAACAATTTGTGAGTCAACACTTTGGTTATGTGGCAGCAACTGCAGATTGACCCCTAACATCCCTTCTTCTCTTTTTCCTTGGTAACAAGACTGGTTTCAGCTGGGCAGGTGATGTTTGGAATAAAGGCTTATTACCCAGTTTCCTTTGCAGTTAGGTGTGGCCGTGTTACCAAACTGGAACGTTATGTTCAATCTCCAGGAACTATCCTTAAAAAGAACTGTTGATGAAACCTATGTAACTTTACTAACCATTGTCACCCAACAAACTTTAATTTTTAAAAAAAAAAGAAGAAGAATTGTGCTTTTCTTCTTCTTGCCTTCCTGCTGGCTAGAGTATGGATGAGATACTTGGAGATCAAATAACTATCTTGGACAACAAGGTAAAATCTGAAGAGATTATAGACAAAACACAGATGGAACCCAGGTCACTGCTGATCACGGAGTTACAATATTAACTATGGATTGCTTATCTTGGGACTTTATTACATGGCAGGAAAATAAATTCCTACCGTATTGAAGCTATTATTATTTGGGATTTTCCTAAATAACACACATTTTCCCAAATATTTTGCTATAATGATCAGCTGTTATAAGCATTCCTTTATGCATATATTTTCTTACATTTTTTTACATTTTATTATTGTTTAAAATTATTTCTTACATTTTATTATTGTCTAATAAAATGTATAAATCATGGGATATATCTTTTTTAAAAAACTTTTGAGATGTATTGCCAAAAATCATTCCATAAGACTATAAAACAGTAGACTTCCACCAGCAGTGTATAAAAATGCTCCATTTTTGCATATCCATTGCAACACTAGGTATCATTCTTTTCAATGTTTGCCAATCAGATAGACTTTTTTGATGACTAGGATGGTTAAAGGTTTTTAAAACTTTGTTTGCCATTTGTGTTTACCCTTTTTTTATTCTGCTTTTTAAAAGTTTCTTGCCCATTTTTCTATCGAGGCATACTTTTTCTAATTGTTAAAAAGACTGTATGTTGAATATTTAACCCTTTGCCTTATATATTATAAATATTTTCTTCAGTCAACCTATTATTGTAAAACATTGTTTATGGTATCTTCATGAAGAGTTTTAAAACTTTATCAGGATTTCTCCTCCTCTTTATTTCCTGTCTTTGGTATCATTTTTAGAAAATCCTCTCTTCTTATAAATTATAGAAATATTTTCCCACAATATGCACCAACACTTTTATGTGTTGTTTTGTTTTTATTTGACTTACTTTGAAATTGTTAACCCATCCAGTATTTATTTTGTTATATGGTAGGGATTCAAATTTTTATTTTTCCAAGGGGTTAATCAAATACTTCAACCTTTATTGAATAAGTCATCCCTAATCCCCTGATACAAAGTGCTATCCCTAGAAAGAACTAAGTTCTCCTTGTGTACTTGGATCATTTTAAAACTCTCAGTTATGTTCTGTTGATCTATATATCTATTACACTACCAGTGCCATAGCTTTAATTATTCTACCTTTTAAATATTGGTATAATAACTGATATGATATATCCTCCCTAATCAATTTTTAAAATTTTTCTCAAGATGAATTTTTAGAATGATTCTTCTTAATATTTGAATAAAATAATAAAAACATAGATCTATAACAATTGGGGCTTGTATTTGAATTTCATTATAGTTTTAGGTCGATTTGCAAATATTTGATACTTTTTCATTATTAACTCATCAATATGATATTGATATGGCCCATCAATATGATATTTCTTTTAATTTTTAAACTAAGTCACTTTGATCTTTTTCTGAGATGTTATCATACCCTTTGAAATTAACTGTCATGAAGCCTCTTGTAAATGTTATCATTTCAGTGAGCGTGAGAAAGTCGTAAAAGCAGCCTTTGCCTCCAATGTGCTTATATTCCACTATTCCACTAAAGATAATTAAGACTGCACTGAATGGACATGAAGTTGTGTAAAACAGAAATAAAACTCTCTAGAAGTTATTATTGTAAATACGGTGCTCTGCATTTACATTCTGCAAAGCTGGCTGGGATGACAAATGACAAGAGCAGAATGGGATTGATCTGGGATGGTAAAGGACAGGGTGAAAGTCACTGTCGAAGGCAAAGGAAGCGTGTGGGCTGCAGAAAGCAAACTATGAGGCAAATACACGTGTTGCAGGCCAGCAAAGGTAATATGAATATACAATCATTTTTTTAAAGGGAAATTAAATTAGGGAGAAGAGAACCAATTGTTAGAAGACCTTTCAACATGGATCAGCAATATAGATTTTATGTGAGCAAAAATTTAGACCTATTATAGTTTCTGAAAATGGATCTGAAAAATCAAAGTGGCACTTAAGGAAGATAATTCTTGCTGCAATGAGCACACGAGTTTGGATAAAAGGTAATTCATGGTCCGCTTAGGGAATTGGTATGATAATTTATTTTGGAGTTTATTTACTCAATAATTTTTACAGAGTACTACTCACCATGTGCCTAGCATTGTGTCAGCATTAGAGTAACTTTGTTTCCAGATATATTTTTACAAGGCCCTTCACGACAGATGTCTAATGACACCACTTACCAAGAGGGCACATTCCCCAGGTACTTCTGTACTTTGTTCAACAGAAATTTAACTGCCCAAGTGGATGTGTGATTGATGTTATTAAATGATTAATGCAGTAAACTCTCTACTTTCTCCTCTGCAGCAGAATTCTCCATTTAACCCCTTGGGATATGTAAGTGCCTCATTTCTAAAGAAACTACAGTGAGATTAGGGAGAAGGGAGGGCTGCAGTTAGAGGGCAGTTTAATCCGTCCTCCTCCCTATTGAAAAGCAGCTTCAACCAAGGCACTGCCTACTAAAATAAACTTTAACCTACAGAGGCGTTTGCAAGAAAATTTGATCAAATGAGAAAATAAGAGGAAAAAATAAAACAGCTATTAGAAAAACCTATTTGTCTCCCTCTGTTTTTCCTCCCCCCCACCCCCCGCCCAGTGCATTGAGTCCAATAACAGAAAATCTCTCTGAAGTAAGTATTTCTAAGTATATCACGATTGCTTTTCAGTCTGCAAAAGCCATTTTCCTGTAGCATGAATATTTTTTTGTCTACATATTGACGTCTGTATGATGTGAAGCAAAATACTTTTGCTTCTGGTTGTTCCTTCCATTTAGAATTGGAAGAGTTACGTGGAATTGGTTCTCTCCTACAAAAGAGAACTTAAAATACTTGCTT